GCTGAATGGAAGCCGGTTTCTGGGGTTTTGTTTAGCTTCTTATTTGCAACATAGTATATAGTTGCTTAGACTTGCAGCTGAGAGGCCGGCAAGTGAGGCGGGGAACGTTGGAGTCTGCAGCAAGCAAGCCTCCCTGCTCGCTTCAGTGCCTGGCTGCCGGCCGCCATCTTGGCTGACAGTTAATTTGCATATACTCACTGATTAGCCAATGAAAAGGGTAGCGGTCGTACGCCAATTACCATGTTTCTCTTTTATTAGTGTAGATATAGGTATACTCAGCATTTTTTCATTCTCTAAATGTTCCTTAAATAAGTTTTGCCAATTTGTGTCTTTCAAAAAATCTGCTCATTTCATTTAGGTTTGTTGAATTTATTGTCATGAAAATTTTCATGATATTTATTATCCTTTTAATGTTTGTAAAGTTTGTAGTGATATTGTCTCTTTAAACTATGGTATTGAAATTAAAGAGAAAACATTGTATCATTGTTCCTTCATCAGTCTTTCTAGAAATTTGTCAGTTTTATTGAACTCTTCAAAGAACCAGTTTAATTTCATGGATTTTCTTTTTTAATATGTTTTTTTTTTTTAAAAAAAAAATATGTTTTTATTGATTTCAGAGAGGAAAGGAGAGGGAGAGAGAGATAGTGATGGGAGTGAATCATTGATCAGCCACCTCCTGCAAGCTCTCCTCCCACCCCACTGCAAGATCAAACCTGATCTCCTAGTTCATGGGTCAACACACAACCACTGAACCACACTGGCCAGGCTCATGAATTTTCTCATTTTAACATTTCCTATTTCATTGACACCTGTTCTCATCTTTATTATTTTATTTACTAAAAAGTATTGAATTTATTTTTTGTAGTTTTCTAAATATATTTTATTGATTTTTTTACAGAGAGGAAGGGAGAGGGATAGAGAGTTAGAAACATCAATGACAGAGAAACATCAATTCAGCTGCCTCCTGCACACTCTCTACTGGAGATGTGTCCACAACAAGGTACATGTCCTCGACCGGAATTGAACCTGGGATCGTTCAGTCCACAGGCTGATGCTTTATCCACTGAGCCAAACCGGTTAGGGCTATTTTTTGTAGATTTTTAAGGTGAGGCTTAGGATATTGATTTTAGGGCTTTTTATTTTAGTAATATTTACATTTCAGACATAAATTTTCCTCTCTATTTTACCTCTTTCCACATATTTTGACATAGTGTATTTTCATTATCATTCAGTTCAATGGTAATATCTAATTTTCTTTTCAAATTGCTTTCTTTAAACTGGGTTATTGAGATGTGTGTTATATAAGTTCCAGATATTTGAGGATTTTCCAGATATGTTTTCAGTGATTGATATCTAATTCTGCTTTTGTCAGACAACAAACTATGTATGATTTTAATCATTTTAAATTCATTGAAACTTGTCTTATGGCCCAATGAATGGTCTATGTTAGTGAACATTTTATGTGTCCTTGAAACAAATGTGTATTCTGCAGCGGGTAGAGTGTTCTATAGACAAATGCCAGTTATCTTTGGTTGATTGATCATGTATATTGATCAAGTCTTGTGTGTCCTCACTGATTCTCAGGCTACTAGTCTTCAGTTATTGAGTGAAAACTGGTCACTCTCCAACAGAAATTATGAATTTATTTCTCTTTTCAGTTCTTAAAATTCTTTTTTATGAATGTTGAAGCTTTGTTATTGGATGCATACTCATTTAGGATTGTTATGTCTCCTTGATGAATTGATTAAACTATTATTATAAAATGCTTCTTTTTCTCCCTGGTGATGATCTTTGTTCTGAAGTCTACTTTATCTGATATTGGTATAGATAGTTTGGCTTTCTACTCATCTGTGCCATTGTATTTAAAGTGAGTTTCTTATAGACAGTATACAGTTAGATCATATTTTTTTCTTAATATAATCTGATAATACTTTTATTAAAATGTGTTTAATCATTGATATGCTTGAGTTTAAATCTACTTTCTTACTCTTTGTTTTCTATTCTCATACCTGTTCTTTGTTCCCTTTCTCATTGCTTTATGCCTTATTTTGGATTCAGTATATTTTGCTGTTATATTATTAGCAATGCTCAATTTTTCTTTTGGTATTAGCTATAGGGTTTATAATCTGTATCTTTAACTTATAACAGTAATATTGATTAGTTGTAAGTCTGCTATTTTGCTTTTCTTCTCATTTATCCTTATATATTTTGGTATTCTTTTGTTTATTTATTTATTTTGCCTTCTTTTTTTTTTCTCTTTTATTTTCATTTTCCATTGACTTCAGACACATACCTTTTAAAAGAATTAGTCTTTTTTTTAAGAGTTAAAAAATTGTGTCAATAACCTGTCAGAGCCTGTTTCATTTCATGATGACCCTTCATATTCTTTAATTTCACTTCACACCTGAAACTAATACCATTGTAATTAACCCCATTATTAATAACTGAAAAGGAGCAAAGGGAAGGCCGAATAGTCTAGGCATGCCATTTGTGGGCTTTGGCAGAAGCTGCTGTTTAGACACATGCCCAGTAAAGTCTGGATGACACGGAGAAGGTTCTGGTCTGTGACTGAAACAGTAACTGGCCTGGGAATAGGTCATTGGCCAGAGTAGACGTGGCCACTGAAAGCAGGAAGATTTGAGATACTTCATCTCCTAAGAAAAGGAGCTGCTCTCTGGCCTCTTGCACTCCTGGCCTGCGGGATGCTCAGGCCTTGCATTTGCCCACAGGGCCCCAGCCTTGTGGACCCCACCTAATGGACTGACGGACTGACACCGGCTTTGCTTTTCGCTCTCCTGAAGCCCCAGCTGTGCTTCTCCCAGGACCGGATGAAAGGAAAAGGGACTTTAGAAACAAATGGAGGTAATTCCACACAAATAAAAGTCACTCATCCTCCCATTCGAGCCTCAGAAAATTCTTTTTCTCAAGATATTGTAAGGACCCGACCCCTAGCACTTAGTGGGAAAAGGGATACCCCACTTCCACAGAGGGCTAACAAAATTTTAGTTTTCTTTCCCACTTCCTACTCCTCACTTTAAACTTCACACTTTTGAAAGGAGTTTTAGGGGTAAAATAGGCAGGTTTAGGGAGTTTTAGAAATAGAGGGTCCATTGGGGAGGAAGGCTTGGAGCTCATAGGTGGGGGCTTGGAGCTGCCATAGGCATACATTCACACAGAGGAAAAAAAGGTGTCACAGGATAAGGGGAGAGGAAGACATCCGTTCACAGAAGATAGGGACATTCCGACGAATGGGAGAAAGAGGAAAAGAGATTTTCACAGGAGACAGAGAATTCTACCACTGAAGGGGGAGAGCAAGAGGGGGCACCACTTGGATTTTGAGCTTTGAAGTTGATATTCTACCAGGTGGAAGACAGCACCAAGAAGCAAAGAACTGCAGCCTTCATAAACCTTAGGAAAAAGGAGCTTAATGGGTCACCCCCCTTAGGACCCCTCTCCTTACGTGGGAGTCTGTACTTGTTTCCAATAAATGTCTACCCTTTTCATCTACCACCTTTTGTCCGTGGCTTCATTCTTTGAATCCACTTGGACAAGAACTTGGGAAAAAAACCACCCTTGCATCCTGTTCAGGAAAAAACACCCGACTCACTTTCTACTTTTATTTCTACTTCACAAACATAATACCCTAACACAGTATTATTTTGTTCAACTACTCACCACCTTTGTGCTTTTTTTTGGTCACATTTTACATCTAAATATGTACTAAATGCTACTTAACAATGTTATTATTTCTTTAAATAATCCATGTCTGGTAATAAAATTATGATAAGAACAAAAGCCATAGTCGTTTACATATTTACCTACTTATTTACCATTTATGGCGTCTTCTTTCCTTTCTGTTAATGAGTTCCCATCTATATCATTTCCTCTCAGCTTGAAGAACATTCTTTTGCCTTTCTTGTGTTGGTTTGTTGGCAATTAAGTCAGTCAGCTTTTGTATGCCCCAAACTGTTTTCATTTCTTCTTCCCTTTTGAAGAGTATTGTTTTGCATATAGGATTTTAGGTTGAAGGTTCTTTTCCTCTCAGCACTTTAAACTGGACTTTGATTTCTCCAATGTCATCTGTGGTCATCACTATTATTCCTCTGAATGCCACATGTCTTTATCTGCCTGCTTTCAATAGTTTGTCTTTGTCTTTCCTTTTTAGAACTTCTACAATGATGTGCTACTGTTAACATAAAAACATTCAAACCTGTAAAGAATTCTTGTGAGTTTATTTGAGCCAAACTGTCAACAATTGCTGGGAAGCAGAATCTCAATGGATTGGGATAATGCTCCCTAGAATGGCAGTTTTCACCTTGTTTTATACATTACAATCAAATGAGGAGACCTAAGTGGGCTACATGAAATCCATTCGTGATAGATGGGGGAGATTGGAGAAAGCAAAGGGGGGGGGAACTTGTAGGATTGGATAAAAAGTAAAATGATAGACACATACTTCTTTAACTTAGGTGGTGCAGTATAGTTAACAGTCAACAATTAACATGATAACAATAACAATGAAGGGACTTATGGTCTCTGTCCTGGCACCCAGATACATTTGGTTGTACCCTCAGGGGTTCAGAAAAAGGAAAGTTATAAGTTACCCTGACATTTCACAGGCATGTTATCTAGATGCAAAAAGACAATAGGCTCAGTTAAGGTAAAGATTGACCTTTACAGGGAAGATACTGGCCTAGGACATGACTACCCACTATAAACTGCTTTTAGTTAATGTATTAATTTTAGACCATCCTTTGTGGTTACTTTAGGTCTTTGAGTTTGCAAAACCACCATGCAGGCCTTCCCTGAGCTGGTCAGGTCAGCATGTGGTCTTTTATTGTCCACACTACATAGGTATTGTTTTCTAAGAATTTATTCTTTTGCCGATTGAGCTTTCTGTTTTTGTTTTGTTCTGTTTTGTTAATCCTCACCCAAGTATATTTTTCCCATTGATTTTTAGAGAGAGTGGAAGGTAGGGGGAGAGACACAGTGAGAGAAACATTGATGTGAGAGAGACACACCGATTGGTTGCCTCCCTCATGCACCTTGATTGGGACCCAGATAGCACCTACAACCGAGGTACAACCCCTTGACGAGAATCAAACCCATGAGCCTTCATTCTGAGGGCTGATGCTCTAACCACTGAGAAAAACTGGCCAGGACACAAGTTGAACTTTATGAATCTGTAAGTTTTTTGTTACATTTTTCATAGATTTGGGGATATTTTCTCCCATTATTCCTTCAAATATATTTTTCTGCTCAAAATTTCCTAATTCTGAACCATAACAGCATTCCTTAAAAAAATTTTGTTTATTGTGCATTATTATTTTTATGTATAAAATTTTTTATGTATAGTTAAATTTGATATTCTTAAATAAATTTCTTATTTTTACATACTTCATGAAGAGTATATTGTTGGATGCTTTTTGTGTAAGACTTTCTTACTAGTATAATGCTTAAAAACGAGAGTTGGACTAGGTTTGGAATTCATCATTTTCTTTAAAATATGGAAGATGGCTCTCTAAGGTCTCTGACATTTAGTGTTTTAGAGAACAAGTCTAGATGCTATCTTAATTTTTTTGGAAACTTTTTTTATGGATTTGATGTTCGATGTGTATAAGATTATTTATCTTTAAATTGAAAACTGCAGAAACTAACATAAAAAATAAATGCGTATTATCTGTTTGATTTGGCTTGGTTTTCCATGAGTATATTCAATATGAAGACTTGATTTCTCTTTCTTTAGAATTATTTCTTCTTATTCATTTATTTTCTCTTTTCTTTCAAATTTATCATGTACATGCACACATGCACCTGCATGCGCACAGAGTCTCTTGAACATATCTGGCTCTTCTTTCTTTCTCCATCTTTTTCCTTAAGGTTTTTAGCTTTTTAACCTCTTTTTCTGAGATAATTCTTTAAGCCAATGTTCTAACAACAATAGAAAACCAAGGAACTGTTGCTGAGAGAATCTTACCCCAACTGAAGGGGTGCACTATTTGTAGAAAATTTCCAAACAATAACAAAACGAACTCAAAGTAGGTCTGCTTTGCAATGTTACTTTGCATTGATAATTCCAAACAATGCCAGTCATAAGACAAATACTCCTTGCCCAAAAGCTTTTTGTTGCTTTAAACTCTAAATAATTGTTGTGGATATTGAGTTTTGATAACATAATATACATAGTATGCATCGTTCTAGCACATTTGTATTACTTACCTTGAACATTGTATTCCAGATGGAAGGCAACTCCAATTGTGCCTCTGAAACATGGGTTCTCAACTATAAGCAATTGTTTTGAGAGCAAGTTAGCAACAGCGCAAACTTGTTTAAATTTGCTTTGTCTCTCCAGCCCATGTGGTACTCCTTACTTCTTCATTTAAACAGTTTATTATAAATAAATATTAACAGCTAAGGGATTATGAGGAGAAAGAAACAGAACATTAGTTACATTCTGTTATTCTATGTGCAAGCTATTTTTTCAACTATTTTTTTGTAAAATGTACTCTTTTCTGAGACATATCATCATGTGTTTTAATAAACATTTTAGTTTAGAATAGTTTTAGGTTTACAAAAAAAAAAAAACGGAATAGAGTACGAAGAGTTCCCATATACCCTATGTCCAGTGTGTTGTCTTGCTAACAAATTATGTTAGTATAGAGGTCTGGTGCATGAAATTCATGCACGGTTAGGGTCCCTAGGCCTGGCTGGCAATCAGGGCTGATCGGGGCCTTCTGGCTACTGGCCAGGGCTTGCCTTCCCCAGCTGCCAGCTGCCGGCCAGGGCCTTCCTTGCCTTCCCCAGCTGCCAGCTGCCTGCCAGAGCCTTCCTTCATTCCACGCCACCCCCTGGACGTCAGTGCATGGCATAGTGAGCAATTGAACTCCTGCTCAAACTATCGAGGGGACACTTTGCATTTTAGCCTTTTATATAGATAGATGATATATTTGTTATAATACTGATATCAGTACATTATTGTTAACTAAAGTACATAGTTTATTCAGATTTCCTTCGCTTTTATCTAATGTCCTTTTTTTCCTTTTCAGGATCTCATCCAAGTTATCACATTACATTTATTTACCATCTCTCCTTAGGCTCATCTTGGCTGTGTGACAGTTTCTCAGACTTTTCTTGTTTTTGATGGCCTTAATCATTTTGAGGAATACTGGTCAGGTATTTTGTAAATGTTCTTCAATTGAGATTTGTCTGATGTTTTTCTCACAATTAACCTGGGGCTATGGGTTTTGGGGTAGAAGAGGATAGAGGTAAATTGCTATTTCCATCACATCGTATCCAGAGTACATCTTGTCAACCTAACTTATCACGGTTCTGTTGATTACCTAGCTAAGGTCATGTCTGTCAGGTTCTCTGCTGTAAATTTCCTTTTTTTTCCACTGTTTCCATAATGTACTTTTTGGAATGAAAATCATTATGCAGAAGTTCTCCACATTTCTTGATCTCTTAATGGCATGCATCTTATTCAAACACACTCTCACTCACATACATGGTTTCTTATTTTTATGTCTTTAAAAAAATATCAGTGGGTGTTCAGGATGGAGGAGAGGGGGGAGTTAAAGCCAGGGATTCTAAGTCACATCCTGAAATGAATGCCCTGGAATGGCTGACTCGTAGCTGCAGCTCAAAACTTCCAGTCTGGTGCCTGGCATCTCACAGTACAGACGTGGATTCATGCCATAGACTTCTGCCAAAATGGGAATACTTTGTAACATACCAAGGTGTTGTTAGAAAAAGTACTCTAACCAACAGACAAATAACACAACGACTTAAAGTAGGAGGAAATGTGGTATCAGAAATGGTGGGAGGTGATGGATTTAGTAAAACGTAGAGTTTATGTCTAAGGAGCTACATAATATTATAAGCCTATCAGCTTTCTTAGTCTCTTCTGATGTTTCCAGTTGAATCTCATGGACCTATCTCCTCCACCCTTCTCATCTGCTTCCTCACCACTCACTACAAGGTCTACACTTTAATATACATTTTTTATTAGGAATTCAGTAGCTTTGGCTTTTGAATGGATGTTGAGAGATAAAGTTCAGGCAGCCACAGCTGAGAAATTCTTCTTTGTGCAGAAGAGTATCTTTGTTTGTGTTGGCTGAAGCTAATGTACACACTCATGATGGATTAACCAGGGTGGGGTGGGACAAGGGCCTCCCTTTGGGAGTTGAGCCCCCTAGCTGCACTATCTGCCCTTCTCCCTCCAAGGCAGGGAGTGGTAGTGGCATTTTGACAGGGTCTTCTCCGCTTCGATGGCCACTCTAGTGTTTGATGGAAAGTGTAGGGGGAGGTCAGAATGGTCATTTCCAATACCCTGGTCACCCAGGTGGCCAGTTTAGTTACTAGTGCTTTATCCTCCTCTTGCTCAGATATACCAAAGCCTATGCTTTTGAATTGTTAAAGTTGGTTCTCTTTATGAGAGGTTGGAGCCTGAGCCAGTTGAAGGGATCCACTTCTCTGGTAGGGAGCCCCTTTTCGTCATGGGATGCCTGGACTGGGAAAGACAGACCTACGGCTCTGCCAACATTTTGATTTGTCCCTGGTTGACTTGGAGACAACTAAAATTGCAGAACAGTTTGTGGGATCATGGCAGGCTTTGTGCATAGTGTTACAGTTGGCCATGATATTGAAACTGTTGAGAAATTAATGTGCACTGGTCAATTCTGCAGTCGGTGGGCTTCCTAGAAGCTTAGAATCAATCCCACTACAGAACTCCTTTGACCACAACACTTACAACCCCTGAACTTCAGTATCTTCATCTGTAAAGAGTAGAACCTTCAAATCTCTGAATCTTATACATTCTTATACATATTATATATTCTTATATATACTGTAGATTCTGAACCAAGTTTCTCAAAGAGTAGTTCTAGTTCTACAATGAATGTAGAAATAGAAACTTAATTCATCTGGTTACATAGGTTCTAGTGCATTTATTTAAAAGGCATCACTTAACCCTGGCAGGTGGCTCAGTTGGTTGGAGCATCATCCCATACACTGAAAGATGGTGGGTTTCATTCCAGGTCAGGGCACATACCCAGGTTATGGTTTCAATCCCCGGTCAGGTGCATGTGGGAGGCAACCAATCGATATTTCTCATCTCTCATATCAGCATCTCTCTCTCTCTCTCTCTCTCTCTTTTCTTTCCTCTCTCTAAAATCAATGGGTGAAAAAAGTATCACTTTATCTTGTATGATTAACCACCACCACATTTTTGTACGTAGCATATATAGTTCATGGGACATTGCAGAAAGTTAAAATATATTTCTTGAATAAATAAACATACACCACATAATTTTCAACCTCTGGTCCAGTGTGGCCTTTAGAGATGGGCACCCAGGATCCATCCCAGAGCCCTGAACTTGCTCTGCTTTTCCTTGTTGAGATCCTTCTCATGGAGTGAGAGGTCCCCAGAGCCAAAGGTTCATGTCCACTCAGAGCTGTCTTCCCCCATCTCTACCTCCCCCCCCGCCCCCCGCCAAGGTCTAGGTATCTGAGATCGGGAAATGATGTGTCCAAATAGCCTGGAGCCTACTTCTGTAGCCTACATCCATCCCTTTACTAGGTTCTCCTCACAGAGGCATATTGTGCTATAGGTGTGCCCACCCTTAGGCTCAAGAGGTAGTGAAGGAGTTGCTGCTCCTAGGAGGGGAGTTGGGAGGACTAGGGAGACATGGTCTAGGAGTCTTCATTTTATTCTTGCCCCAAGTCTGGTGTTAGGACAGGCTGATTATTTCAGTCCCTTACTCTTCCCACCCCTGTGCCCCCAAAACAAAAATAAGTAATTTTTTAAAATATATTTTTTATTGATTTTTAGAGAGAGATGAAGGGAGAGGGATAAAGACATCAATGAAAAAGGAACATCATCGATCAACTGCCTCCTGCACACACCCTTACTGGGGATGGTGCCTGCAACCCAGGCATGTGCTATGACCGGGAATCAAACCAGCAACCTCTTGGCTCCTGGGTCAACACTCAACCACTGAGTCACACTGGCCAGCAGTAATTTTTTTTATTGGAGCTAGAAAACTTCTGCCCATTAAAACACACATACACATGCACATGCACACCCCACAAAACCCAAGCAAACAAACAAAAAAATCCCAATATTTCTCTTTTCCCTCTCAATATCTATATGTCTACTTATATATCTACTAGTGGCCCAGTGCACAGATTCTTGCACATTGAAAGGAAATTAATTAGAAGAAATCAGCTTCAGAGGTCCGTTGTGCCAATAGTTGTTCTTCAGACATATTCTGTCAATGACGTCACGTTCTTTCAGCTTCAGAATGTCACAAAAACAACCAAATTCACGATTGACACACACGCTTGCGATTGGTGCCAGCAAGAGCTTTATATGTATCCTGCATGCGCGAGTCAACTTTTATTTTTAAATCACCAGTGCGCGTCAGACGTACGGCTGGTCACTTAGCCTTTTATATAGATAGATAGGGTGCCGGAGTGCAAGAGGGCACTTTGCAAAGTTACTGTGGTACAGGGTGTGTAATGCAAATGCAAGTGTTCAGTAAACCAGATTCAGGGCCAATTGTGCCCCAGCAGCAACATAACCCATGGCCGAAGGTGGAATCAGGTGGCCCCGTGAGGAATTGGGCTCCCTCCTCTCTGGGTGCATCACCCAAGAACTGCAGCTGTCAAGTCACCACAGCTTGGCAGCTCTTGTGTTGAGTGTCTGCCCCCTGGTGGTCAGTGTTCGTCATAGGTACCCGATAGTGGGAAGGTCACTTAGCCTTTTATATATATAGATTGCTATCTAGATATATAGGGACGCATATAGAATTAAGACATAGTAAAGAAAGAATGTGTCTTCTTTTCTTTATTCTCCTTATAAGAAGGGCTATAAAATGAGGGATGTGATAAGCAACTAAAGAGTATTACAAATTTCCCTCCTTCCCAGTTTCATCCTTCTGTCTTTTCTCCAAATACCACAGTGAATTCTGTGAAGACAGTAATGAACAGGATATTGCCGGGAAAATATGTAGCTACTCAGGAGACTCTGTGGCTGCCACGATGTGTACTAGTTACTGTGTGAGACCAAGCGCCCACCCCTCACCCCAGGGCTTGCAGGGATCAGAGAGGGATCCACCCATCTCAGTTAAAAAGAAGCTTTGTTTGGTTTTCTGGTGGATTTTGAATATTTTCATTTTCGGGGCACATGTTAACACGTGACCGTCCGTGTGATGTGCCAGTTCCCACTT